CACTTCGAATCACTCAAATCCGAGTTCGGACGAAGAATTTACAGCGGAAGCGCACGAATGCACCACAACAGAGTGTCTCGGCCAAAGCCGAGACACCCTAGGGTGTCTCGGATTTTGGGAGACACCCTAGGGTGTCTCGGATTTTGAGAGACACCCTAGGGTGTCGGATTTTGGGAGACACCCTAGGGTGTCTCGGATTTTGAGAGACACCCTAGGGTGTCTCTAACGCGGATTTGGGCCCTTTAGGTGGTTTTAACCGCTCCGCAACCCCTCAAGCCTATAAATACAAGTCCCAGGCCCTCATTTTAGGAGATCTGGAATTTTAGAGATTAGGCGAAGCCCTGCCAGATTGAAGACTTAAAGTGCACGGATTTCAGAGAGGAGGAGGAGGAGAGATCAGATCTAGTTCTTCAATGCAAGAGAGAGAGATTCGTCAGATCTACATCACCCGCATCTAATCCTTAGAATTATCCCGTTGTGGTAATTCTAAGAAGAGCAATTATCTCGCTTTTGTCGAGATAAGCGCTACAGTTTTCTCGATCCCCTCGTGGATAGACGAAGCTCTGCCCAATTTTTCAACAGTCAGATCTGATCGACGGTGGTCCATGGATAAACCCCGACACAGGCAAAGACACCCACGCAAGCAGAAGACCGATGAACGATCTTTGCGTTTGTTTGATAAAGTTGTAAACTTTTTTTTTATTTTCATTGTGTAAGGAGATCTTATAAAAAGATCAATTTTTTATTTCATTTGAGTTTATTGTAACGACTAAAGTTGTAATAGATTCGATAACAATGGAAATAGCAACTTTCACAGCAAACAAACTAGAAGACCGACATTGACCTTAGGGTTTTGAGCGTCGAACTTTGACTTTTTGGTCGCAACGCGTTGACTGGCGTTGACCTAGGGTTACGCGTTGACCGGCGTTGCCCTTAGGGTTTCGTACGTCGAACGTTGACTTTTTGTCGCAACGCGTTGACTGGCGTTGACCTAGGGTTACGCGTTGACCGGCGTTGACCCTAGGGTTTCGAACGTTGAACTTTGACTTTTTGTCGCAACGCGTTGACTGGCGTTGACCTAGGGTCAACGCGTCCAGTTTGTTTGCTGTGAAAGTTGCTATTTCCATTGTTATCGAATCTATTACAACTTTAGTCGTTACAATAAACTCAAATGAAATAAAAAGTTGATCTTTTTATAAGATCTCCTTACACAATGAAAATAAAAAAAGTTTACAACTTTATCAAACAAACGCAGAGATCGTTCATCGGTCTTCTGCTTGCGTGGGTGTCTTTGCCTGTGCCGGGGTTTATCCATGGACCACCGTCGATCAGATCTAACTGCTGAAAAATTAGGCAGAGCTTCGTTTATCCGCGAGGGGATCGAGAAAACTGTAGCGCTTATCTCGACAAAAGCGAGATAATTTCTCTTCTTAGAATTACCACAACGGGATAATTCTAAGGATTAGATGCGGGTGATGTAGATCTGACGAATCATTACCACAACGGGATAATTCTAAGGATTAGATGCGGGTGATGTAGATCTGACGAATCTCTCTCTCTTGCGTTGAAGAACTAGATCCGATCTCTCCTCCCGGGTGATGTAGATCTGACGAATCTCTCTCTCTTGCGTTGAAGAACTAGATCCGATCTCTCCTCCTCCTCCTCTCTGAAATCCATGCACTTTAAGTCTTCAATCCGGCAGGGCTTCGCCTAATCTCCAAAATTCCAGATCTCCTAAAATGAGGGCCTGTGGCTTGTATTTATAGGCTTGAGGGGTTGCGGAGCGGTTAAAACCACCTAAAGGGCCCAAATCCGCGTTAGAGACACCCTAGGGTGTCTCTTAAAATCTGAGACACCCTAGGGTGTCTCCCAAAATCCGAGACACCCTAGGGTGTCTCGGCTTTGGCCGAGACACTCTGTTGTGGTGCATTCGTCCGCTTTCGCTGTAAATTCTTCGTCCGAACTCGGATTTGAGTGATTCGATGTGCGTTGGAAAGCGGACAAGGAGTTCTATCAGCCCTAATGGTTGGATCATCTGTATAATGAGACATGAAGGGTATTGTTCTTTTTTTTTGTAAACATCACGGGGCTCGCGATTAGCCCCTACCTTCGTTATTCCAAAATTCTGTCAGTTCACGTAGTTCGTCGATTCACTTCAGGCGTTCACCGACATCAATTGAACTCCTGGGAACCGGACAGTTACGTTCATCGTCGTTCCTTAACACTGAGCTGTTTGTGGAGACCTATAGGCAATTTTCGATGCCTACAAGGGTTCGAACCACTCCATCATGCATCTTGATTTTGATATCACCTAGCCCCACCATTTTACAAGCATGGTTGTTCCCCATCAATACGGTTCCACCATCAATGCTCTTGTAGGTAGTAAACCACTTCCTGTTTGGACACATGTGGTAAGAGCAACCAGAATCAAGAATCCACTTCCCGGAGGTATCCTCGCTATCCGTGACGACATAACATTCCTTATCGCTCCCATCATCTGAAGCGTAGCTCGCCTCTTCCTTGCCTTCTCGTCTTTCAGTCTTGTTGTTGTTCTTTTTCCCACCTACTCTCTTGTTAGGAGGACAATCGACCTTGAAATGCCCAACTTCACCGCATTTGAAACATGCTCATCCCGCAAGAGGTCTCGATTTAGATCTAGACTTTCCTCCCTTGCCTTTTCCTCGCTCATTGCCTCTTCCTCTGGCAAACAGTCCCTGCGCTTGTTCTTTGTTACCACCAGTGGCCATATCACTAGTTGTAATTTTTCGAAGGTCATCTGCTAGAAGTGCTGTTCTAGTCTCATCCATCGACAAAGTATCACCCACAAGCATCAGTGTTTGCACCAGGTTTTCATAAGACTTTGGCAGAGATAGAAGTAGTAGAAGTGCCTGATCCTCGTCTTCCACTGTCACCTCAATGTCTTTCAAATCCGATATGATCCTATCGAACTTGTTGATGTACTCCCGAATTGACGAGCCCTCCTCCATCTTGCAAGTATACAATTTGGATTTCAAATAGATCCGGTTCGTTAGACTCTTCCTCATGAAGGTGCTTTCTAACTTCAACCACACGCCTGCAGCCGTTTCCTCCCCGTCTACCAAGAAATCTACATCCCTTTCAAGGCAAAGGATAATCGACGCCCGTGCTTCCAGATCCAGCTCCTCCCAATCCTCATCAGACATATTTTTATTCTTCTCTTTTCCGGCCAAAGCCTTATGCAATTTTTGCGAAATCAGCGAATTTTTCATCTGCATCCTCTAATAGGAAAAATCATTTTTCCCATTAAAATTTTCAATCTCGTACTTTCCAATTTTATTTGTTTTACTTGTAGAAGCCATTATCCGCTTGTATTATGTAAATCCGCTTCTCTCAGGAATTTTTAACAATTACTTGTGTTTTACCACACAATATTCAACCACCACCTCAGATCAGAAATTTTACCACATCCAGTCTGAATAAGGGCTCTGATACCAATTGTTGGGGCGCAGAGTCACGCCCACCGCCGCGGAAGCGATATCACCTGAGAGAGAGCCCTGGCTTTCGTTATGACAAAAGCAGAAGTCAACCTCTATATTCTTGTTTCTCAAAAGAAACGAGAATAGATAATAAAATTCTTATTTCTCAAAGGAAACAAGAATCGAAAGTGATATATTTCATCAAAGTAAAATATACACTCTTCCTCTCATCAGTTCAAGGACTGAAATATCGAGGGAACCTACAAGCTATGGCAACTCACAGATAAGACAAATACAAACACGGGATTTTACGTGGTTCGGCAAACTAGCCTACGTCTATGGGAGGGGGTTTCACTATGGAGGAAAAATACCAAACTTATACAAGTTCTCTCTTCCTCTCTTTCTTTTCTCTCAAAAAACTTCACTTAAGATTTTTTTTTCACAATTTTCCCACTCCAAAAAACACCTCCACCCCTTCTCTATTTATAGGAAACCAAAGAGGGGGGAACCGAAAAATTTGGCGGGCTCAGAAGCGCGGGAACAGGAGCGCGCGGGGAAAAGCTCGAGCACGAGCTTCGACGCGATGGGCTGGCGCTCGTCTTCGACGTGATGGGCTGGCGCTCGTCGTGGGTGTGACAGCGACAGGCGGCGCGAAACAAGGGAGCACAGGGCCGAACACGAATTCGCGGGCGTGAGAGGAAACGGCATGGGCACGTTGGGTGGGCCCCCGCTGTCCCCCACGTTCACAATTCTCCACCTCGTACATCATTTGATAAACCTCAAATTTTGGACGAACACCAGAAGAACCCCACAAACTCAACCAGAGAGATATCCATGCCAAACCAGGCCAGACCAGCTGCGCCACTATACCGCGGCTGCCTACGTACCCTCCACCGGGATCAAGCTAACCGTAGTTCTGCAATTATTCTCTAACATAGTCTCCATCTCACCTCCATCACCGCCCCGAAGGGCCATGCCCTCTTGGGCAAATCAACACGGGCTGATATGAAGCAAGTGCGGGCGTGAGAGGAAACGGCATGGGCACGTTGGGTGGGCCCCCGCTGCACGTTGGGTGGGCCCCCGCTGTCCCCCACGTTCACAGTTTCTTCAACTGCAAAAATACACATCTAGCAAATACTACAACCAAGCACATAATTTCTTCAGAGAGAGACCAGGGCAACTTCACAGCACCATTTCTTCAAACTTGAACTTTAGATAATTAGAAAACAAATCCTTCAGAAATGAATCATTCTAGAAACGGAGTATACTCTCACAACTACTGTGACCATATGAACAAAGTTCAGCTTTGTACAATCGCACCACATAATATTTGCATGCGCGCAAGTCTTAGATTAATTCATGCCTACATATTTAGGGTTCCCCCTTAACAAATCATCACTAAACAACCCTCAAACTGCAACAACATAACAGCCCAAATTAAAATCAGTCGAGCAATCAAACACGTAACATGCGCAGCTATCAGAGAACATTCGAAAAACAAATGCAAATCGAACGCACAAAATACACTAGTCAGAAAAACTGAAATGAAAGAGGAACATGAAGCACAGACTTAACTGAGACAACACTAACAAGGATCACAACTTACAATATATAGCGCAGTAGTAACTCGGCAAAGACTGAAATGGAAGAGAACATGAAGCACAGACTTAACTGGGATAAATTATACAACACATAACAAGGATCGCAACTTACAATATATAGTGCGGTAGTAACTCGACAAAGAACTCCTGACTCAACTCTTCAGGCACACAGTACAACACTCTGTCAACATGAAATTTGTCATAAGAGGGCTTTAACTCGTCTGTTTGGCTTCACGTTTGCCCTTCTCTTCTTCTTCTTCTTCTGCTGTACCAGCTTTCTTTCCAAGTCTTTCACCCTCCCTGTCAGATTAGATATAACATCCGAATGCTGTTTTCCCGCCGCTAGAAGCTTCTCTACAATATCCTTCAATTTTTCATTTTCACTGACTAATTTCCTATCTTCTTTATTCCCGTATTTGTTCGCATATAAAGTGGATTTATCTGTTCCGTTGTGATCTTCACCATCTTTGCTTGATGCAGATAAACTTTCATTAAAATCAGCGATACCATCTTCCACATACTTATCTGCAGGAAGGAGCTGACTGGTGGGGGGACCATCAATTTTGTCAGCAAAGACCCTTAATCCGTTCTCATCATTACTTTCAGTAACTTCAGAAGTTCCTGTTGCCCATGCTTCAAGGTTTCCTGGCTGTGTCGCTTCAACATTGCCAATCTCCATAGCTTCTTCAGTGCACAGGATACAACTGTTGCATATACCATCATCAACATTTTTTACTACTGCTGTGGCGTCTGAATGACCGTTACTATCATCTCCAGCTCCAGCTCCAAGACCAACTGGTTCATGCTCCTGACGTTTGACCTCCACATCCTGATGTGGTTGTAAGCATTTCATCACATCACGGTCAGGAGATGAACCTCCAGAGGAAAGCAGATTGTTATCTTCTGCAGTGTCGATGGTTTCATCTTTCTTAGAATCACTCTCAGTGACCAGAAGTGGAGCCTCGCCAAATTCAGCCAATTCAATTGGGTCATCTTTTCCTCTTGCCATTTTTTCGAGCTTCTTCTGCTTAGGGTCAGATTCCTTGCTCCCAGAGGATGCGCTTTCTGAAGGTGTCTTGTGCCAACAAGCTTGGTCAGTCTCGACCGACAAATATATACTTGTATCCTGAGCTGGCTCAGATGTAATTGTGGGGCTATCTACATCATGCTTGCTTTTATTAGATCTATCACAATCTACATCTTCCAGCACAGGTTGCTTCTCTGTGCAATTCTCTCCTGCTGGCTGTACACATTCCAGCATTGGTCGCTTCTCTGTGCAATTCTCTTCTGCTGGTTGTACACATTCTAGCATTGGTTGTAAATACTCCCCAATTGGTTGCTTCTCTGTGCAATTCTCTTCTGCTGGTTGTACATACTCCAGCATCGGTTGCTCCTCTGTGCAATTTTCTTCTGCTGGTTGTACATACTCCAGCATTGGTTGCTTCTCTCTGCAATTCTCCTCTTCTGGTTGTACACATTCCAGTGGTGGTTGTACGTGCTCCACCATTGGTTGTTTATCTGTGCAATTCTCTTCTGCTGGTTGCACAGATTCCAGCGCTGGTTGTACATACTCCAGCATTGGTTGATTCTCTGTGCGATTCTCTCCTGCTGGTTGTACACATTCCAGCGTTGGTCGCTTTTCTGTGCAGTTCTCTTCTTCTGGTTGTACATACTCCCAGTTCTCTTCTTCTGGTTGTACATACTCCAGCGTCGATTGCTTCTCTGTGCAATTCGTTTCTGCAGGTTGTACACATTCCGCTGTTGGTTGCTTCTCTATGCAGTTCTCTTCTGCCGGTTGTACATACTCCAATGTTCGTTGCTTACCCACACAATTATCTTCTGCTGTTTCATCCAGAGAAGATAGACTAGCAACAAGAGAGGCTCCACCATCACAAGAAAAATCTACAGAATTTACATCAAGCTCCACTGGTGTCACCACACTGCCAATGGAGCTAATGTTGTCTTGCAAGGACTCTGACCTGGCTAAACTATCTGAGCTAGCAAAGGCAGCTCCCCCAGCCGTACTCCTTGTTTCCTCTTCATCGCTAGATGGCTTCTTTTCTTCAACACATCCCAAAGAATCAAGCTTCTCTTGTAAGAGGACAAGTTCCCTTGCGACACTTTTCCTGATGTCCCTCACACTAGGATGCAAGCCCTGTCGAATGTAATTAATTTCAGATAAGCAAACAATAGTCCTCAGAAACAATACGTAGGATTATTCAGCCTTATCAAAGTAACCAATATCAAAAAAGTATAAATCCAATTATTAGATAGTTGGTAACAGTGTATAACAAAATGCTTCATGCACAAAAATTTACTAAATTTTCTTTTAAATTAGTCTGCATTCCACTAGGACTTAGTTTCAAGTAGAAGAAATGAGAATAATGAAATGCATTTATAAAAGAAAGTATAGGAGTTGTCACTGTTTTTCTTTAAAATAAAAAAGAGGGGAAAAAAGACCACAGAAAATTTAAGCTTACCTGTATAGTATCCAGCTGCAGCAGTAGATTCATTAGCGTTTCACCAAAAAATGTCTTCTGCTTTGCACCCAATTCTTCAGGAGAGACTCCTGTAGTCTGTACTTGTGTCCTGATACTGTCCGCTTCTTCACAAATCTTCCTTATCTTTCGAAGTTTCTCGAGTGGTTGCCATTTTCTCACCTCAAATCCTCGATAAGCAGACTGAATAATCACTGCAGCATCGGTCTGCGATAAGTCTCGTTTTGTTCCCCTATCTTCCTTCACCTCTTTATTTTCTGAAGACCTTTCATGTTCATTATCCGCATCCATTTTCAGATCATTCTTACTTCCAGCAGAGTTACTTCCTTCAGAATCCTTATCGCCTCCAGTTTCACTGCCTACAGTTCTTGCCGTTTCCTCGAAGAAGGGTTCCTTGGACGGATCGCCTACAGGAATATGTATATTTTCCTGGCACTTCTGCTCTTCCACTGACTTACTTGAACCATTATCTTTCACACTAACAATATGTTTTCTCTCAGAGGTATTTTCTCCAGTTCCCTCCCGAGGACACAGCTCTTCATGATGTTTCCTGTCTTTGTGGCCTGGTGGACTAGGAGACCTTGATGCACCATTTGTCATCCTCTTCTTGGGCAAAGGGTCAACTCTTAAACAAACAGGACGCAATTTCGTTGACTTCACTGGCGATGGTCGTTCTTCCTCTAACTTCTTGTGCATTTCAATTTCTTTAGTTTTCTTCTCAAAGCTGGTAGCCTTCTCTTTATCAACCTTCTTTTCTTGCACTTCAGGCAAGCTAGTTTTCTTCTGACTTCTCTCTTCCATCGACTTCACAGGAATTGTCTTTGTTTTGCTCTCCTTTTCCCCTGGTATTTCTTTCTGTACTTCATTTTTGGATTCTTCCAAGGCTCTTGAATTCTTCTCATAGTCATCATTTCCAAGAAGCTTCAGAGGAATAATCTTAAGCTTTTCTGGTTCTTTAACAGAGCCTGGAGTAATTTCTTTCAAATTAGTCACAGCTTCCTGTGGTTTATCATAACCTGGCATCCATATTACTGGAAATGACTGCTGTGGCCATTTATTCTCGTTCTTCCGTTCTTCTTCTTGACTCGATACCTTGGAGCCGTCAATGCCCAAAGGCACCGAACCATTCAAGTACCCAGGCTGCAGCTGAGTATCTTTGCCTGCCTCCCTATCCTTAATGGAACTAACAGGGACCCAAACAACTGGCGATGAGTAGTTTGGCGGACGATCAGAACCAGAAGAGCCCCTATCCAGCTCTTTTTCAGGTACTGCCTCTTCAATCTTTGGAGCAGTATCACCTTTTCGATAGCACGAACTATTTGGACACCGACAACAATGACTGTGAGTATTGTCATAATCATGCTGAGTCCAATTAACTGCGTTATGTGGATGGGGGACAAAATAGGCAGGATATGAAGAGGGGTAAGGAAGATAGGGTCCATAGTAATGCGGATGAGATGGTGGCTGAACGTTAGGACAAAATTGCGGACTCAGGCCATAATAACCAGGAGGAAAGCCGTGACCGCAACAGCCACTATGATCTCTCAAATTCGGCTGGTTGAACTCATGGGAAGGAGAAGGAACAAATGCTGATGGTCTTACAGACCCCCAGCCAGAACAGTATTGACACGGGTAGGAATTAGGCTCTTTCTGATAAGGAAAATTTTGAAAGTATGGTCCCGTGTATTGGTAAGAAGGAAACATCGTTTATGAATAGGACAACCCTGTGGAAGACCTCCCTCAAGACTCCCTTCGGTCTAGCTCACCAGGTTGAGATCAATAACACAGTGAATAATCCTGCCAAAAAAATTGGTTTGAGAATATAATCAGCAATATTGTAAGTCTCTATGATACTAGGACTAGGTACTGTCACTTTTATTAAACTGGTCTTTACTAGAAGAATGATAAACAATAATTAAAAAAACCAGTCTTGCCTGCTATATATCTATACTATTATGTTATACACATAGTGGGGGTACCAAAAATATTTAAGGACATTTTACAATCCAATAGAAGTGTGAGGGGTACATTGGTAATTTCTCTTCCTTTCTTTTTGTCACTTTTTTTTCTTTTTCTAGAGCATTATAGACAATAACATGAATGTACAGTTAAAGTTTTCTAACTCAACTCGCATTATGCTACATGCAAATGCACGCGCCGTAGTTATTGAACCTATTTATTCTAAATTTTATATAAAAAAAGTGAACTACATTTTAATACCCTAAAGTTTCATCAATAATTTCTTAACTTTTATATCATATTCTCCAAAATAGTTAAGATATAATTTTATAAAAATGTAAGTTTTAGTCTTATTCGAGCATGAGAATATAACTTTCCATTCACTAAATGCCAACAAAAATCTTTGTGGAAAATTTTTTTTACTCAATAATATAAAAATTATAAGGAGTTGCTAAAAAATTTCTCCAACTTAAATTAAAAGTATTTTCAAAAGTGACATGCATTTAATAATCGGAAAAGAAGCTTAGGGGGTGTTTGTTTCATCAAAAATTTTGACATTTGGTATGGATTACAAGTTTTAGAATCAAAAAGTGAGTTTTTTTTATTTTGGGATTCCATATATGGTGTTTGTTTTAAGAAAATTTTTAGAATATTGAATCTCAAAAATGCAAAAAGTACCCAATTTTTAGAATTTGTCAAATCCTCTCAATTGGAGAGGATTTTACAAATCCCATAAATGAGTGCGCTTACCTCTCAATCGGAGAAGATTTGACAAATCTCAATTTTATCTTTTTATGGGAGGTAACCTCACCAAGATAGCATATTCATCATATTACAAAATTTTAACATTTAATAATGCTATAATTTGAGCTTGAAACAAACAAAATATTACAAATTGTAGTATTCCAAATCCTAAAATATTAATAAAACATAACATTTTAGAAATCCCAACCCATAACAAAACACCTATGGATCTCAAATTCCATGGTGAAATCCATATCATAAAATTAAAAATTCCATGGTGAAATCCATATCATAAAATTATAGAATTTAAAACAAACACCATTTTATATATTAGTCTCTTACAATGTATAACTTGATAAATATTTAATTATGTCAGTTCAAATCCTATTTTCATTCATGATTTAGAATGTTCTAAACATAGAAAGAAGATGGATATTAATTCTTGTGAATGAAATCCTATTATCATTCATAATTTACAATCTTCTAGAAATATGAGAGAAACGAAAAAAAATTCTTTCATATGCAAAATTACCAATATGCCCTTACTCTTCTATTATGATGAAAAATGTCCTTCATTTTGGTACCCCTAGTAAGATGTTAAAAAAGCAGCATCCATACCTATCAAAATATGTAATGTAAGAGATATAAATATACAAAGATAAACAAGATAAGGTTCTATCCTTCAAAAAATTATTAGATATGAATGAATATAAATACAATAATTTTGAATATAAATACAATAATTTAAATTTCCATATGTTTTAATCTAAATATTACCAAAAATACAGATATATCTACATAACTGAGCTAAAAATAATTAAATATAATAATTTGATGATAAAATATGAAATGTACTCCTCTTGTTAACATTATTATTATTTATTAATATTATTTAAAGTACTCTCAGGATGATATTTTAAAAATAAAATATCAAATTAAAATGTATCCTATTTTCTTTCATTAAATCACATTACCAATGGAAGTGACACATCTGTCACACCCAATTTCAAAGGAGGTAACATAAAATAACTCATCTCCACTGCAAAAAATATTATAATATTTCCTATAAAACTTAATTAAACTTTACTGTAAGTGCCCCTTCTAATTTATATAGAATTTGAGATGATTAAGTTCTCGCATTTTCACAAGTAATAACACCACGAAAGCAATGCTGCCGCTATCCGCCCCTCAGATGGGGGAAATCCCTCATGGAACAAGTAATTGATATGCTTAGCTACTAACATGTATTTAAAGGATCAACCAAAACTCATGCTAGTAAATAGGTAAATTAAGTCAACATTAAGATGAATGGCATAGAAAGCTAAAACGCTCCAAAAACAACAGTCAAACAAAAAGAATCCAGCAGGTACAGGAAGAAGTATAATCATTATCTTTTAAGCACATATTGAGATAACTTTTAGGTAGCTAAGCAACGGTATCATGTACAGAGAAAATGAAATATTTCATACCAAGTCAGGTACTCAGGTATCATATATTTGCTATGATTCCGCTTCTCAATTGTTTTTTGTTTCTTGACACGGCCTTTATAATGTTTCAGACGCTAATTTAATAATGTTAGATTCAAGAGTTTCTTCATATGAGGATATATATGTTTTGCGAACTTACGGATAACATAATGCATCAGGACCTAAAAGATTTCTAGTTTGTTTCATCACTAGTTTTGGAATGCCATTAAGGTTGAGCTATATTCTGCTACTTCAATAGTTCCAAAGATTACCCCTCAAAATAATAATAATTTTAAAGACTAAAGCTGTAGTTGTAATGCTTTCATAATTCTGTTCAGGTTCTAATTTGAGTACATGTTATATATTAAGCTAAGATTGAATCTTGACTTAAATTGTTACTTAGATACTGTGTATTTTTTGAATCTTGATTTAATTGTTACTAAAATACTGTTGTACTGTTGCCTACCTTGCACCTAAATACCCTCAATTTTTTTTGGCATTATGTACCCAAAAATCTTCAAGAAAAAAAAAACACTTTAATACCTATCAAAATCCTGTTTTAAAATAGGATTACATCACGTTTAGTAGAAATATGGTGATTGTAACAGTAACTTCGACAAAAATTAAGACTAAAAAGTTCTAAACTTACATGTGAATTACGCATAAGAATTTCCGGAGGGAAATTCTTGCAATTGCAGAGGGTATTTAAGCACAACTTTTAAAAACTTTATAAGTGCTGCCAAACACAAGTGCGGGTACACAAATGCAAAGTACGCGAAACTATAGGGTGTACAAGGGCAAAGTTGTGGATAGATTGGGCTCATGGCTTGAGAAATGAGGTTTAACTTCATAATAGTGCTTCGAATCAAACTGAATAGTGCTTTCAATCAAACTGGCTCTCTTGGACAATTTTTTGGGATTTGCATCACATTAGAAGAAGAAAAAAATGTTCAAGTAACCAAGCTAGAGATTGGGGGTGTCATGTAATCGTTGGGTACACGGAGATCGAGTTTGAAATTAAAAAGAGAAGAAAGAACCTTCTCCTCCAAAAGTTCTAGCCAACGCACACTGATTTAAGATAGATTAATTATGCTAATGTAGATTAATCTCTCTCTACGGTAGGTGGGACTATAATTTATAGGACCCGATCAAGTGAAGACAGTTCTCAATTTCGAAGTTGATTCGTTGAGGACTGTCATGGAAATATCAGCTAACAGATCAGATTTGAAAATTATGATATCTCATATATCATTCGTCTTTATAATTTCCATTTGACATTTTTGAATGCTAGAGGGCTCATCACATCCAAGTAGAAGCATGCATGATCCCGTCCTAATCCTCACGACGTCACCGCGCGCACAAAATCAAATTCTCAAAATCGAAAACAAAGAATCAAACTACTTACAGATTAAAGAAAAATCCTGCCGACCGATCCGACGAGCCAAATGACTTCGATCCCGGAGCAATTCTCGCCACAAACCCCTTCAGTCTCTCGCTTGCTTGCTTGCTTGCTTTCTTCTCTCTGTTGTTGTCGTGCGCTCTCTTCGCGTCCGGGGCCCCTTATTTATCCTTGAGCTTGAGTGGGCCCCGTCTGCCTGTGCTCGAACTTTCTCGTTCTCTCTCTGATGACTCGCTCTCTTTCTGGACGTTTCTGGTTGCCTCTACAGTTGTCAACCGCCCTTAACTTTCGGAATGGTCATTTTAGATATCAGTCCCTTAACTTTTTAATAATTACACATTAGTCTCTCAAATCTTTGATGTTGCTCGGGAGACCCCAAATCCAAGTTATGTTCTGATTTGTGTTTATAGGAAGTTTAAATAGTGGCTGTTGCTTTGTTGCCTGTCCCCCCATCCTTGCACTCTTTGGTCATTAAACCAATATCGATTCTCTATCATTCCTCTCTGGCCTCTTTTGATAAGCTTCCTATAAACACAAGCTTCATGCTTAGGCTCTCTCCTTAATAGATGGTTTGATCCTAACATAAATCACCAGTGATATTTGTTTTGCGTAGCGGAACCGGAGGAACACACAACCGCAAACGAGATTAGAGAACAAACAACAACCAAGGTGCAAAGACTACTACCAGGGCGTGGAGCTTAGGAGGTCATCTAGGGTATCCAAACTGAATTTTAGTTATATTTTATCACTAGATTATTTGCTTTTGACAGATTACAGTGAACTAGAGTGCTATGAGGAGGCTATGCAAGTTAGTGAATCTCAGCAGTGGGAGCATACAATGCAAGAAGAGATGGATTCTCTACACTCGAACGAGACATGAGAGTTAACCCAGCTACCTGCACAGAAGAAAGCCTTACAAAACAAATGGGTCTATCGGGTCAAACAAGAGAGTGATCAGTGATGAAAGCAAGATGTACAAGCTCAGATTAGTTGTGAAAGAGTTCCAACAACAAGGAGTGGATTATACGAAGATATTTTCCCCCGTTGTAAAGCTTACAACCATCAGAATGGTGTTGAGCTTAGTAGCTACAGAAGATCTCTACCTTGAGCAGTTAGATATGAAGACTATCTTTCTTCTTGGTGAATTGGATGAAGAAATCTACATGAAGCAATCCGTTGGATTCATTGAGAAAGGAAAGCAAGAGATAATGTGTAAGCTCAAGAAGAGCTTGTATGGATTGAAACAGGCTTCAAGACAATGGTACAAAAAGTTCGACAACTTCATGCAGAGCAATGGCTATGGAAGATGCAATTCAGATTATTATTGCTATTTTAAGAGATTCGAGTCCAGCTATTGTTTGGTTCGAAAGTTAGTTTCTTCATTGTAGGATTCATTACAACTTCAGTCATTAAAATAAGTTCAAAATGAATGACTTTTTTTAAGACTCCTTACATAATTAAAATTAAAAAGATTACAAATTTCTTTAAAACACACGCAGAGGACGTTTATCACTTGCTGTTTACGTTGGGTCTTTGCCTGTGTCGAGGTTTATCCGTGGACCACTGCAGATCAGATCCGGTTGATCGAAAGGCTAAATGTTTGTTGCTTCACAAAGAAAACAAGAACAGAAGTAAATAAACTCAACCAAGTGAGATCACTACTCTTCTAAAGATCAGTACAAATTTTGATCTCAAGCAATGGTAGAACGAGCCTCAGATCTCTCGAAACGCTCCTTCTTTATATCAGAGTTTGTCAAAATCTACTAGCCCTCCTCTGAAATTCATGGGATTCACTCTCTAAACCGACAGCACATCGCCCTCCTTTCAGAATTTTAGATCTCCTGCGTATAGGATCCTAGGCTTGTATTTATAGGCTTTAGTTACGGTGTTTTAGGATAAGAATAAGTGATTTGGCCTCATCTTTAGTTAATAACAACCTAAGCATATTTAGGGATGATATCCAAGTAGTTGGGAGGCTCTAAAATGAACAAATCCTGAGAAAACATCCAAGTATGTGTTTTCAGGAACTGGGGTCCGAGTCAATTCAATGTGACCCGTGGGTGTGCGGGTCACATTAAGGTGACCCGCGGGTGTGCGGATCACATTAACATGATCCGCACGATTGCGGGTCACATTAATGTGACCTGCAAGGGTGCGGGTCACATCAACGTGACCCACACGGGTGCGGGTCATTTTGATGTAAGCGCAAACCGGCGGGTCGCTTTGATGCGATTTCCAAGCGACTATATCTTGTTTTGGTCTTGTTCTATCATTTCACGGATTTGTACATTTCACCGACTCACTTTATGTGTTTTGTCATTTCGTCTTAGCATCGGATAATCTCATGATGACGTTTATCGCCTTTGTTTCATTTCAAACTACGTGTGAGGACCTATAGGTAATTTTTGATGCCTACAGATACCCCCTCCAAAGTGTTTCAGCCTCATTCTTTTATAGAGAAGTCTGAAATACTTTAGATTTGATATGTCCCATCTTTAATCCTTAGATTTCTTTAGCTTTCAGGCTATTCAGTATTTTATCGAATAGCTAAAATTCTTTTGGTACTGCTTTTATCGTCTGGCAATTGTCGAAATCTTGAACTGAAACCGATATGTTGTTTTCTGAATTCAGTTCATATCGTTGAATCGACGTTGAACTTATCATCCTCGTTAGGAATTCATATCTGAACCACGATTAAACTCCCCGGGGTTAATTTGGAATTGAGAAGTATCCTGAACCTTATTTTGGCGAAATTATTGACGCGTTGATTGGCATTAGACCTTCATTGTAACGCGTTGACTGGTGTTGACCTTCATTGCAATGCGTTAACCAGCATTGACTTGCACTGTAACGTGTTGATCGGCGTGAACACAGTTTATATTCATACGTTAACTAGAGCCTACACAGTTTAAGCTCGATCGGCATTGTAACGCGTGACAGGCCTAAGTGTAGAGGTTGCTGGACTAACCGTTAATGCTGGTTCATCTACAGGTATGGATCTTACCCTTACATCCCGCTAGTTATTTGCTTAATCATAGGAGAGTTTTGGTTGTAGGACCAGCTATTAGAGCTGATACGGCTACCACTGCGAATGCGTCCAAGGTCCTTCGTGGAAACTTCGACTGGAATTGATGTTCTCCCGGGTGTTCAAGTCACAAGACCGACTGATGAAGTTGGTGCATCAGTGATTTTTGTACCTTATTACGATTACTTATTCTGTTTAGAATAAATAACCATAATACTTATAGGATTTTTTTGCTAAACTCTCAGCCATAAACGAATTTGATGAGCCTTTACTGATCACCGTTTGAATCGGGCTAGCATGTGAATTATTTAAACCCATTTCATATGTAACTGTAGGCTGTCTAAAAATCACAATAGATAGCTGATCCCCATCAAACACCGATGATGGAAGTTACAATCTGACGACTTCCAGAAGGTTACAATTTGAAGACTTTCACGTAGATCGCTAAAGGTTACAATCTGACGACCTTCACGACAACCGATGAGAGCTCTAGTTCAACAGCCTTCACAATCAACATCGGGAGTTACAATCTGACGACTCTCATATATCAGAGAGATAAAGCAAAGATTACAAAATGACGATCTTTGCAACGCTTCGATAGAAAGAGACTACAAATCGACGATCTCTTCAAATCAAACTGTGGAAGTCCTCCCCGCACACCAGCATCAAGACGCATCGCCCAAACGCAGCTCCAACCGCTGCCCAACGCAGCTCCAAGCGCTGCCAGACGCAACTCTATACCGCTACCAAACACACCTTCACTCGCTGCCAAACGCAGCTTCCAAGCCGCCAAACGCAGCTTCCAACAAGATGCCAACGTAGTTTCCAGCCGCTGCGTCCGAGCTTCCAGATGCTGCGTTCAAGCTTTTAGGCATTGCGTTTGGACACAGAATTCATGCCAGAACGCGGGCCTGCGTTTGACTCGTTCAAACACGAGCTGAACAGTTTCAAAACCGTTTCCCACGATCTGAGGGGATCACAACTCCACTCAGGAGTGATTTAAGGGGCGGTTACATCCCATTAGCCCCACTTAGGAGCGAATTAAGGAGGTGGTTACACCCCTTAATCCCCTATAAATAACTAAAAATCAATTCAGTTCAGGGGTTCGGGCGGTCGGTTGGAACTTCTTGGCTCGTCAACAGGATCCTTAGAGCATTTCTGGAGCTTGGGAGATCTGCAACAAGAGCTTCTTCATCGAGATCGGCAACAAGATCTTCTTCATCCTTGACTTATAACCGACTTTCGGTTAAATCAACTCTTTCATAGAGTTTTAAGCTCGTTCAGAGTTCTCCACAACGTCAAATCGTGAGGAGAAGACCACGTTCTAGTGAAACAAGACATCGGATCGTCAACGATAAGCAAACTCGACACGAGCATTCGAGGGAGGCATCTCATCGCCACCGTGAAGAACTCAGAATTAAACAAAGGGGAGAATCCAGATCATTCTCTTCTCTTTTGTAATAAGGAAATCCAATTGTAATTGAGATTAAAGGAATACAAATCAAATTTTCCTTCATTGTCTTTTTACTGCAAATTTTCCACAAACAAAAGATGGCGACTCCGCTGGGGACAAGCTTCTGTGACGAAGAAGTGGTGGCGCAATTCGATGTTCATCTCACTGGAACAACCGTCGAAACTCTCGTGATAGAGTTTGATCAAGCCAAGTTTGAGGAGGCTCTCTCATCCGGATCCCTTAGCCCCAAGGCTATGCGCAAGATCCACAAAGTCTCCAAGGAGACTAAAGCTCCAATTGTTGCTCCTATGCCGAAGGAAGCCTTCTCCTTCAACCAAGAATGCTCGAACAGCCCCTCCTCCGAAGGAGTGGGCTCAGCTTCGGCCAAACTCGTCCACCGAGTTGAAGGTGTCGCTGCCAAAGCCTTAAAGCAGGCTAAGAAGAACGTAGCTCGACGAAGGATAAGATCCCTACGACGAGCACATCTCTGTGAATGCCGATCTTCAAGTCAGCACGAGCTTCGTGTTTGTGAGCCTAAACGCGACCCTATGCCCTGCGTTTCTGTTTCAGAATGCAAGTCTCGCGTCTATGAGCCCAAACATAGGCTGCCGCTCGACGCAGGAGGAGATCCCTACGACGAGCACATCTCCGAGAATATC